TCTTCTTCTTCTTTTTTAAAGATTTTATTATTTATTTCAGGGGTGGGGGAGAGAGAGAGCAAGAGTCCAGGTGCAAGCGCGCAAGTGGGGGTAGGGGTAGAAGGAGAGGGAGGGAGAGAGACAGATTCCCTGCTGAGCACAGTGCCTGAACCGGGACTCCATCTCATGACCCTGAGACCACGACCTGAGCAGAAATCAAGTCAGACACTTAATCGACTGGGACACTCAGGTGCCCCATGCAAAAGCTTTCTTTCTCTGAGATGTTTGAGTCACTGGCAATACTTACTGGGTTGCTAAGCTAGTAAAGACTGTTCCCCAGAGATGCCCTCACGTATAACACATCTGGGGGAGGTGTGAGCTTTTTAAAACTGGTCACTGAGCTTAATGAGTGCTAGGTTCACAGTTACTCCTGTGCAAATTAGTGTATTCCAGATGTGTTAAATGTTCCCTTTAATTAGTCTGTTTTAAATGAGATGATTCAAATCTAAGTCTTTAATAGAAACATATATATACCTATATATTTTTAACTACTGGAAAACTAAATAGAATGATAATTTGAAAACAACAGCCTCAAATTATTTCTAAATACCTTCTAGGTTTGGGATTATATTCTGTTATCCACAGGCTCCTGGTTTTCCAGTTGTGGTTAGTGGAATCTCTTGAATTTCACTGTTTTAAAAAAGATTTTATTTATTTGACAGATAACGACAGAGAGCACAAGTGGGTAGGAGAGGGAGAAGCAGGCTTCCTGCTGAGCAGGGAGCCTGATGTGGAACTTGATGCCAGGACCCCGGGATTATGGCCTGAGCTAAAGATGGACATCAACCTCCTGAGCCACCCAGGTTTCCCTTGAATTTCACTTTTAAAATATAGTTTTATCTATTTAAAAATGAAACAATAGGGCACCTGGATGGCTCAGGAGGTTGAGCCTCCAACTCTGGATTTCGGCTCAGGGTGTGATCCTAGGGTCCCAAGATTAAGCCACATGGTGGGCTCCCTACTGGGAGTAGAGCCTGCTTAAGATTCTCTCTCTCCCTCTGCCCCTTCCTACTCAAGAAAAAAAAATAATAGCAGGACAAGCACATAAATGAGTATTAACACAAAGAGGCAGTACAACGTGCAGGTGAGGAAAGGAAAACTAGTGAGACAGTCGGGGTAAGTCAGTTATGGGAATGTGACTTTTGGATATGGTACTTAGCATCTCCATGCTTTAGGGTTTTTTGTTTTATTTTGTTTTTTGTCTAAAAGATGTGGAATAACTGTTCACTTCCTTAGCAGTTCTACCACTTGTTGACATACAAGAGAACAGTGCCTGTATCTGTACTGCAGACTTCACTCAACATTGTTTGTATTTTGGGCTAAACATTTGTGTTGAACTGAGAAGTTTCTGGAGACTGCAGAGTAAACTGTTTAGAAAGAGAGATACCATTTCTAACCCCTTATCTGCATCAGTCAGAGTCTTCTCTGTATGGTGCAATTTGAAAAAAGAAAGAAATTGGATTCAGGGCTGAAGTAAGACTAAAACATATTATCAGCAATTGTATAATCGTAGGTACAGGTGCTCTGGAGTAAGACAGTTGGGCTTCTATGTGAGCTCTGCTATTTCGCAGAGCCATCTGTGTGACTCTGGACATGTTTTAACATTTGCTTCAGCCTCAATTTCCTTATCTGTAAAAGGAAGACAGAACTAGTACTACACCTTAAAAAAAAGTTTTATTCTAAATCTTTTGCTTATTAAAATGGCTCCGTTATTTTTAGCGTTTGATGTTGTAGGCAACTATTATAAAATAAGATTTCTGTTGGTAAAGTATCACTGTCATCTGCTTTATATATTTGGGTTACAAATAATATTCCATTTGACATGCAGGGTGTGAATGCTTGAAAAGCATGAACACCAGGTACCACACTATATATCCTTAGGTTTGTGAATGGTCCATTCAAATGACCAAATTTGAAACACTGTAAGACTGTGCTGCCCCCTGCTGACTTGGTTTCTCCAACATATTTTGAGTCTGGGGAAGTCAAAATTTCTACTATAGCATAATGGATAAGTAACCCAAAGGTAGGCTACAAGACAATAATGATGCAGATGGTAAAATATTTTACGGAGCTCTAAATAATGTATGAAGTTTGTCAAGACACTGAAGTACAAACAATCTCATGGTGGGAACAAATAAATACAATAATAAACTCCTAATTGTGTAATCTTTAACAAATTTAGATACCCCATTCCAAATAACCGTTACCATTGCTATTGTTTTAAGTGTTGCTGACACCTTGTGGAAAATGAGCAAAATATATACATTTAGGCTTCATTTAAATCCTCAATAATTATTTCCCTGATTCTTTCATTGAATTAACAGCAGCTTGATCTTTATTTCCCATTAGAATAGCATTTTTATCTTGACTAGTTGCAATGTACTAAATATATACTTTCCATGCTAGAAATCTTGGGCATCTTCTCCTTTTTAATCTCATATATCCAACCAGACACATTCTCGTGATTTTTCCTCCAGAAATTATCTCAAAATTGGCTCATCCTTACTATAAAAATTCTTCTAATAGTCTTATCACTTAATAGTGCAAAGAGTACTTGACAAGAAATCAAAAGAGCTAAGAGCGATGCTACCTGTTGTTAGCCCTAAGACATTCAGTAACTTATCTAATGAAATTCTCATTTTTCCTCATTATAAAATAGAGACTCTTTTTCATGTCCTGTTCAGTAATAAGATTACATGAGATAGCATAAAGGAAGTGCTTTGAAAACAGATCACTCTAACAATTTATTTCTATAATGTAATAGCATCTTAGTTAGCTTTTACCCATATTATTGCTTTTTATGCACCATGATCTATGTACTCCGCCATGGGGGTGTGGAGTGGGAATGGAGGATGGGAAGCATAGGGAGAAAGCAGACAGCGAAGAAATTCTCTTTGTTCAGTTAAGTCAACTACCTTGTCCACTCAATCTGTTACTTACTTTGGATTCTTTGAACTTCAGCCTTACAACTCTTGTCTGTAATGTTCTTAGGTCTTTCGATGACCATTTTGAGTCAGCTTACCACACTCTGTGTCACCAATTTCCAGGCCAGAGGAAAGACATCAGACACTAGTAAACCACACTTCCAGAAAATTGGCTTTGGTGGTGATGTACCTCTTCTCAAATATAGTGAAGGGCAGAATAGTGAAGTAAAATCTGAAAATCTGCTCCTTCATTCAAGTGAAAAGGATATTGGCAAAAATTGTCAAAATCAGCTTTTCCAGAACTCCTAGTTAACCAAAGTCTTGCAATCATCCAAGGAGTGCTTGTGCAAGAGAAATGGCTGAATACCAGTAAGAACAACAAGCTTTGTTGTTACCCTATTCCCACCTTCCAGTCTCTAGTTCCATGGTAGCCTTGAAAATCGACAGTTTCACAATGCTAAGGTAGCTGTGAGAAACAGCAGCCTAGCAGACAGTGGAGGGATCAGAAAAGGTTAGGAGCTTCCCCAAACCTGATTCCCAGAGAACTATCATTACTTGACTTGTCTGAGAGGTCCCTAAAAAGTTCCATTCTCAAGCTTTGTTTTGATTTGACCTTACTCAAAGCTTGATATATGTGTACAGTATGGCTGTATCCTAAGGAAATTTGCAGAAACAATTAGTGGCAACTGCTTAAACATCATAGCCAACTGAGAAAGCAGGACTAGTTGGAGCAAACAAGAGGTGGATGAGAAAGCTGTAATATAAATCTTGGGAATGAGAAGTTCACTGGGGACTTTGATAAGCTCCAAAACATTCCTAGGAGTCAAAAATCCATGTTCATATGTAGGGCTATGCACATGCAGGAAAGTCCTGGGAAGGTCCTAAAGTCATCTCTGGCTGACCCTGAGGCTCAGTGCATGCATGAAGTGAAAGATGAGGCACAGCTACAAACTTGCTGCTGGTGCACTGAAGGCATGCCAAACACACAAATGCTAGGAGATGTTATATAAGCATTTAAGGAAATCTTGGTCCAATCACATAAGCTGACAACTAATCTGACTGAAGAGACTCCAGTGGCTTTCCCTCTCTCTTTGCCCTTCCTCCTTGTCCCAAAGCCTACACATGCACACACACACACACACACACATCCCCTCTCTCTCTGAGCTCTCTCTCTCAAAAGAAAAAAATAACTCAAACCACACAAAGAGAATTAAAGATAACTACATAGGTAAATATAGAAGACAGTATAAATGTATTTTAGTTTGTAAAGTTGTGGGAGGGTGAGTAATGCCTCCAACAAAGAGGTCCACATCCTAATCTCCAGAATCTACTAATATTTTACCTTATACAACAAACGTGACTTTATTAGGTTGGGATACCTGGGTGGTTCAGCATTTATCATCTGCCTTTGGCTCAGGGTATGATTCTGGAGTCCTGGGATCGAGTCCTGCATCAGGCTCCTTGCAGGGAGTCTGCTTCTCCCTCTGCCTATGTCTCTGCCTCTCTCCCTGTGTCTCTCATGAATAAATAAAATCTTTTTTTTTTTAAATAGATAGGGTTAGATTAAGGAGCCTGATGTGAGGACATTATCCTGGATTACCTGAAAGGGCCCAATGTAATCACAGGGTCCTTAGAGGGAGGCGGGGGAGTAGGAGGCAAAGAAAGAGAGAGAACCTTGAAGATGCTATACTGCTGGCTTTGAAAATGGAGGAAGAGGGGCGCCTGGGTGGCTCAGTAGGTGAGTGTCTGCTTTGGTTCAGGTTGTGATCCTGGGGTCCTGGGATTGAGTTCCGCATAACTCTCCTTGCAGGGAGCCTGCTTCTCCCTCTGCCTGTGTCTCTCATGAATAAATAAATTTTTTTAAAAAACCTTTAAAAAACTGGAAGGAGAAACCCATGAAAAAATGCAGATGGCCTCTAAAAGTTAGAAAACTGAATGAATGAAGCAAGCAAGCAAGGTCTCTCGTTGGTACTTTCAGAAAAAACAGCCCTTCTGAAATATTTTGGACTTCTGACCTCCAGACTGTAAGATAATAAATTTTCGTTGTTTTAAAGTTTGTGGTAATTTGTTACAGCAGCAACAGTAATATAATACATAACTCTTCACTATTATTTAATTAGCAATAATTGCACCTCGGATAAACCTCATTGGCTATGATACTGCCACTGCACCAAGCTTTTTCACTATCTTATTTAAAAGACATGAAATAAATAATAAATATAATCTAGTTCAGATTAATACCAACTTAATTTCAGTAGTAAACAAAAGCTTTAATAGTTCCATTCTCTTCCTCTTTCCTTTATGCTATTATTGCTGTATAAATTATATCTTTATACATTATAAATTAGTCGACAAATTTTACTCTTAATTAGATTATTTTAAATTAAGATGTTAATTGTTATCCCCAGGTAAACCAATAAGAAATTAAAAAAAGAGAGTCAAAGAAACAAAGTAATTAAAATGGTATATTAGAAAATTACTATTTAACATAAAAGAAGGCAATAGTGGAGAAATAGAAAAAAAACAACAAAAAAGGCATAAGTCATATAGAAAATGAATAGTAAGATGGCTAATTTTAATCAATATAATCAGCAATTATATTGATTAAAATTAATAGTAAAATGTTTTATTTTTATGAATCTGTCTTATTAATCAGATGTTACATTAATATTAAAAGTATTTATATATTTATATTAAATCATATATAATTTAATTATTTATATTATATATTATATATAATAATTTATATTAAAATATATTTATATATTTATATTTAAAAAATGACCCAATTATATACTGTCTACAAGAGTTGTATGTTAGATTCAAAGATCCAAACAGATGGAGAGTAAAATGACTAAAAAAGACCTACCATGCAAACAGAAAACAAAAGGGAGTTGGTACGGCTGAACCAATGTCAGACAGACTATAAGCGAAAAATTAATACTAGAGACAAAAACTCATTTTATAATAATAAAAGAGTTAATCTATCAAGAATATATAAAACATATATGCGGGGATCCCTGGGTGGCTCAGTGGTTTAGCGCCTGCCTTCAGCCCAGGGCCTGATCCTGGAGACCTGGGATCGAGTCCCACATTGGGCTCCCTGCATGGAGCCTGCTTCTCCCTCTGCCTGTGTCTCTGCCTCTCTCTCTCTCTCTGTGTCTCTTATGAATAAATAAATAAAATCTTAAAAAAAATATGCACCCAATAACAGAACCCAAAAATATATGAAGCAAAACCTGATAGAATTATGAAGAAAAATAGACAATTCAAACAATAGTAGCTGGAGACTTCAATACCTGATTTTCAATACTGGATAGAACAACTAGACAGAAAATCAATAAAGAAATAGAAAGCAACTACATTCAAAAGATATCTATGTGATACTCTAACCAACAGGAGTAGAATGAACATTCTTTTCAAGTGCACATGGAACAATTCTTTATGGATAGAACATATGTTAGACTAAAAACAAGTCTCAATAATTTTTTTTTAAAAACTGGGACACCTGGGTGGCTCAGTGGTTAAGTGTATGCCTTCAGCTCAGGGCATGACCCTGGAGTCCCAGGATGAGTCTCACATCAGGCTCCCAGGATGGAGCCTGCTTCTCCCTCTGCTTGTGTCTCTGCCTTTCTCTCTCTCTTTCTCTTTCTCTGTGTCTCTCATGAATAAATAAATAAAATCTTAAAAAAAATTTAAAATCTAAAATCACACAAATTATGTTCTTGAACCACAAAGGAATTAAATTATAAATCATTAACGTAAACACATTTTGGAAATTCACAAATATGTGCAATTTAAACAACACAATCCTAAATAACCAATAGGCCAAAGATGAAATCACAGGAAATTAGAAAAAAATTGGAATAAAAGCAAAAACACACCATATCAAATTGTATGGGATGAAGTGAAAGCTAGTGTAGAGGGAAATTCTGTTTTTAAGAAGAAGAAATATCTCAAATCAACTGCCTAACTTTCTACCTTACAAAACTAGAAAAGAGCAAACTAAACTCAAAGCAAGGAAAAGGAAGGGAATTATAAAGATGGGCATAGAAAGATGTGAAAAACAACAAAGAAAATTAACAAAACCAAAAAAGTTATCATTTGAAGAGATCAACAAAATTGACAAGCCTTTAACTAGTACAATCAAGGAAAAAGAGCACTCAAATTACTAAAAAGATAAAAGAGGGGTCATCACTACTGAACTTCCAGAAGTAAAAAAGACTTTAAGAAAACATTGCCTACAATTAAACAAGTTAGATAATCTAAATGAAATGGAAGGGATCCCTGGGTGGCGCAGCGGTTTGGCGCCTGCCTTTGGCCCAGGGCGCTTTCCCGGAGACCCGGGATCGAATCCCACATCGGGCTCCCGGTGCATGGAGCCTGCTTCTTCCTCTGCCTGTGTCTCTGCGCCTCTCTCTCTCTCTCTCTCTGTGACTATCATAAATAAATTAAAAAAAATAAATGAAATGGAAAAAATTCCCACACAGACATAAACTACTAACACTGGCTCAAGAAGAAACAGAAAACCTGACTGTACCTATCACAGGTAAAGACTGAATTAGTAACTTCCGACAAAGGAAAGCCCACTGGTAAATTCTCTGTTGTGGGTTGAATGTGCCCCCTACAGATAATGTTCAAACCTTAATTCTTGTTACTTAAATGTCAAGTTATCTGGAAACAGGGACTCTGAGGGTTTCCTAAGATGTAAGTTAAGAGGAGGCCATACTGCAGTATGGTATGGATCCCTACTCCAGTATGAGCCGTGTCCTTACAAGAAGACAAAGAGAGGCACAAAGACCCACAGGGAGAACACCATGTGAAGATGGAGGTGGATTCTGGGCTGATGCAACTATTTCAGGCCCAGGAATGCTAAAGACGGTGGCCATAACCAGAAACCAGGAGAAAAGCATGGAACAAATTCTCCCTTAGAGCTCTTAGGAGGAACCCACCCTGCCAACATCTTGGACTTGAACTTCTGGCCTCCAGAACAATGAGAGAATTCTGCTGTTTTACGGCACCATGTTTGTGGTACTTTGGTATAGCAGCCTTAGCAAACCAATACACTGCCAAATGTTTAAAAACTTTGCCAAATAATAGAAAAGGAGGTAACACTCCCCAGTTTATTGCTTGAGACCAGTAATACCAAACTCAGGAATAGACATCACAAGTAAACAAAACTATGGATCTGTATCTCTTACATCACAAAAATCCTCAATAAAATATGTTCAAACCAAATCTAGCAACTTATAAAAAGGATTATACATCATAACTGAGAGTTATTCTACGAATGTAAAGTTGCTTAACATAGGAAAATCAGCCAATGAAAAATGTCATAATAACAGAATAAAGGACAAAAACCACATGATCATCTAAATAAATGCAGACCAGGCATCTGACAAAACCCAACACCCTTTCATGATAATAACACTCAACAAATAGGAATACAAGGAAACTTTCTCAAGCTGATAAAGGACGTATATGAAAAACCTACAGCTGACTAACATCATACCTAGTGGTCAAAGATTGAATGCTTTCTCCCTAAGAACAAAAATAAGATAAAAATGTCTGTTGTCACCACTTCAATTCAGTATTGTACTGGAGTATCTAGTCAGGACAATTAGTGAGACAAATGAAGTGCTGTTAAAAAATATTCCGATGCCTGTTAACACAGCAAAGAAGCCTTTATAAGTATATCTTGGAGATATTGCGGGCTAGGTTCCGGACTACAGCAATAAAACTAGTATCACAATAAAGGCAAATAAATTTTTTGGCTTCCCAATGCATGTAAAAGTTATGCTCACCCTATACTGTAGTCCATTAAGTGTGCAACAGCATTATTTCTTTTTCTTTTTTTTAACAGCATTATTTCTAAGAAAATAATGTATGTATCTCAACTAAAAAATACTTTGTTGCTAAAAAATACTATTATTTGAGCTTTCAAAGAGTGATAATCTTTTTGTCGGTGGCTGCTGAGTGACTGGGTGGTGGTTGCCAAAGACTGGGGTGGCTCTGGCAACTTCTTAAAATAAGACAATGAAGTTTGCAGCATCACTGACTCTTCCTTTCATAACTGATTTTCATAACTGATTTCTCTGTAGCATGTGATGCTGTTTGACAGCATTTTACCCACAGTAGAACTGCTTTCAAAATTGGATGTCAATCCTCTGAAACCCTGTTGCTGTTTTATCAATACATTTGTGTAATATTCTAAATCCCTGGTTGTCATTTCGACAACCTTCACAGCGTCTTCGCCAGGAGTAGATTCCAAGAAACCATCTTCTTTGCTTCTCCATAAGAAGCATCTTCTCAAATATTCAAGTCTTATCGTGAGATTGCAGTGATCAGTTGTGGCTTCCGGCTCTACTTCTAATTCTAGTTCTCTTTGCTATTCCTTCCCATCTGTACTTCTTTCCTGCATGGAAGTCTTGAGCCCCTCATAGTCATCCACGAGGGTCAGAAGCTACTTTTTCCAAACTCCCCTTAATGTTGATATTTGGACCTCTTCCCATGAATCACAAGTGTTCTTAATGGCACCTAGAAGGACGACTCCTTTCCAGGTTTTAACCTTGTTTTGCCCAGATCCACCAGAGGGATCACTGTGTGTGACAGCCCTAGCCTTATGAAACGTATGTCTGGAGGCCTGGAGTCAAAACAATTCCTTGATCCCTGGGCTGCAGAATGGATGCTGTGTTAGCAGGCATGAAAACAAGATTAATCTGACAGTACATCTCCACCAGGGCTCTTGAGTGACCAGGTGCACTATGAACAAATGGTAATATTTTGAAAGGAGTCTTTTTTCCTGAGCAGTAAGTCTCAACAGTGGGCTTAAAATATTTGGTAAGCCGTTGTAAACAGATGTGCTGTCATCGAGGCTTTGTTGTTCCATTTATACAGCAGAGGCAGTGTAGATTTAGCATAATTTTTTGGGGCCGGAGGGTTTTCAGAATGGTGAGTGAGCAGTGGCTTCGGCTGCATTAGCCCCTAACAGGAGCGCCAGCCCGTTGTTTGAAGCTTTGAAGTCAGGCACTGACTTCTTCTTTCTAGCTATTCAAGTCCAAATGGCATCTTCCTACAGTACAAGGCTGTTTTATTTACATTAAAAATCTGTTGTTTAGTGTGGTTACCTTCATTAATTATCTTAGCTAGATGTGGATGACTTGCTGCAGCTTCTAGATCAGCACTTGCTGGTTCACCTTCCACTTTTCTGTTATGGAGGCAATTTCTTTCCTTAAACCTTGTGAACCAATCTCTGCTAGCTTCAAACTTTTCTTCTGCAGCTTCCTTACCTCTCAGCCTCCACAGAATTGAAGAGACTTAGCGTTTAGCTGTGCATTAGGTTTTGGCTTAAGGGAAGGTTGTGGCTGGTTTGATCCTCCACCTGGACCACTCAAACTTTCTCTATATTAACAGTAAGGCTGTTTCACTTTCTTACTATAATTCATGTATTCACTGGAGCAGCACATTTAATTTCAAGAACTTTTCCTTTGAATTCACAACTTGGCTATTTAGTGCAAGAGGCCTAGCTCTCAGCCTTTGACATGCTTTCCTCACCGAGCTTATTCATTTCTAGCTTTTGATTTAAAATGAGAGACACACAATCAATATTGTACTGTATATTAACTACCTAAAATTTAAATTAAAAAAATGAGAGATGTACAATTTTTCCTTTCACTTGAACACCGAGAGGCCATTGCAGGGTTATTAATTGCCCTAATTTCAATATTGTTGTGTCATAGGGAATAGGAAGGGGGGAGACAGATCGGGGAAGAGCTGACTGGTGGCACAATCAGAACACACACAACATTTATCAATTAAGTGTGTGGGCTTAAATGGGTGTGGTTTGTAGCAAGCACTCCAAGATAATTACAGTAGTAACATCAAAGGTTGCTGGTCACAGATCAGTGTAACAAATACAATGATAACCAAAAAGTGTGAAATACCATGAAAATACCAAAATGTGCACAGAGACATAAAGTGAGCAAATGATGTTGAAAAAAATGGTGCCAATAGACGATGCAGGGTTGCTACAAACTTTCAATCTGTAAGAAATGCAGTATCTGCAAAGCACAATTAAGTGCAGTGCAATAAAATGAAGTAAACCTGTCTTCAGGACTACCAAAATAGGTGTCAAGATTATTGCAACTGGGGAGAAAGTTCAACTCCAAATACAGCAGAGGCATGTGGGGATTTACAGCCAATGAAGAGAATGAGGGGATCAGTGAATGAAAATTTTCAGACATCACAAGGATGGGAAATTTCTTGTTAAACTGACCTAACAGCATTTTTACTGAAGGCAGGTCAAGAACTATTACACCAAGGTGAGGATGAGAAACTTGATCAGCTATGAAAGGAGGGCTGGTCAAAGACAGGACAACCATCAAGTTGAGGCCTAGTCAAAAAGAGGGCTCAGGGGAGCCTGATTAAAATTTGTTCAAGGAGGGAGTCTCTGTCAAGGCATTCATACTGGGGGCGGGGAGTAAAATTATCTCTATTCATAAATGACATGGTCTTGTATATAGTAAATCCTAACATACACCAAAACACAAACAAACAACAAACCCTATTAGAACTGATGAATGTATTAGGCAAGGTTGCAGATATGTGATCAATATACAGAAACAAATTGTATTTTTATACACCAGCAATGAACAATCTGAAAACAATAGTAAGAAGTAATTCCATTCACCATAGCATCGATGAGAATAAAATTCTTAGGAATAAATTTAACAAAAAAAAAATTTAACAGAAGAAGTGTAAGTTTTATACACTGAAAGCAACAAGATATTTTTAAAAAAGAAATTAGAGACAACTTAAATAAATGAAATGTCATTTCCTATTAATGTTTTGAAAGGTTTTTTTACTATTATTTTTTAAGTTATGAATTCCACCTTTTTAAAATTAATTAATTTTTAAAGTAATCTCTACAGCCAACATGGGGCTTGAACACATAACCCCAAGCTCAAGAGTTACAGGCTTTACCAACTGAGCCAGTGAAGCACCTCTGGAAGACTTAACAAGACAGTAACACTTCCCAGAGCAATCAATAGATTCAATGCAGTCTCTATCAAAATTCCAATGGTATTTTTTGCAGAAATGGAGATGCCAATTCTAAAATTCATGTGTAGCAAGGGACTCAACTAAAACAATCTTGAAAAAGAAGAGCAAAGTTGGGAGGACTCACATTTCCAATTTTAAACTTAGTACAGGGAACCCTGGGTGGCGCAGCAGTTTAGCACCTGCCTTTGGTCCAGGGCATGGTCCTGGAGACCTGGGATCGAGTCCCACATCAGGCTCCCTGCATGGAGCCTCCTTCTCCCTCTGCCTGTGTCTCTGCCTCTCTCTCTCTCTGTCTCTCATGAATAAATAAATAAAATGAATATTTAAAAAAAAATAAACTTAGTACAAAGCTACAGCAATCAAAACAGTGTGGTACTGGCATAGGGCAGACATACAGATCAGTGGAATATAAATAAGAGTTCAGAAATAAAAATTTACATTTGTGGTTAATTTTTTTTGAAGAGTGCCAACACAATTAAATGAAAAAAAAAAGAGGAATCTTTTCAACAAACGGTATTGGGACAACTGGAAATCTCACATGCAAAAATCTCACATGAATTAATTTGAACTCCTACTTTGCACCATATAAAATAATTAACTAAAAATGGATCATAGACCAAAATTTAAAAGCTAAAACTATAAAATCCTTAAAAGAAAACATAGGAGTAAATCCTTGTGACCTCAGGTTATGCAATGATTTCATAGCTATGACACTAAACACACATACAACAAGAGGACAAATAAATTGGACTTTCTGAAAACTAAAAACTTTGTGCTTCATGGGACATCATCAAGAAAGTAAAGGGATAACACATAGAATGGGAAAAAATATTCTCAAATCATTTTTCTGATAAAGAGCTTGTTTCTCAGGATATATAAAGAATGCTTTCATCTCAATAATAATGAGATAAATAAGCCAATTTAAAAGTGGGCAAAGGATTTTAATTAGCAATAGTCACGCCTCAGATAAACCTCATTGGCTATGATGCTGCCACTGCGCAAAGCTTGGACAAAGGATTTTAATGCAATTTCTCCTAGAGGGCATATGAATGGCCAATAAGCACACGGAAAGAAACTCAACATCTTTAGGAGGGAGATAAAAATCAAAACCACAGTGAGATACTACTTTACACCCACTAGGATGGCTACTATATGTATTATTGTCCACACACACACACACACACACTCCTACAATAAGAAGTGTTGGAGAGAATGTGGAGAAATTGGAACTCTTACACATTGTTGGTGGGATAGTAAAACAGTGCAGCCACTCTGAAAAACTGGCAATTTCTAAAAATATTAAGCACTGAATTGCCAGCAATTCCAGAACTAGGTGTATACTTAAGAAAAATGAAAACGATGTATATTCATAACATGGAGCAATAGTATTAACCCTAAAAAAAGCAGGGAAGTGTGGACACATGCTGAAACATGAATGAACTTTGAAAACATCACGTTAAGTGAAAGAAGCCAGACACAAGAGACCATATATTGTATGATTCCATTCATATAAAATGTCCAAAAGAGGCAAAACTCTATACAGGCAGAGGGCAGATTAGTTGGTTGCTAAGGGCTGTGATTGTTAATGGGTACAGGATTTTCCTTTTGGTTTTTTGTTTTGTTTTAAATATTATTTATTTATTTATTTATTTATTTATTTATTTATTTGAGAGAGAGAGCGAGAGAGAGAGAGATAGCAAGAGAGGGAGCAGGAGCAGGGAGGAGAGGGAGAAGCAGACTCCTCACTGAGCAAGGAGCCCAACACGGGGCTGGATCCCAGGACCCTGGGATCATGACCCAAGCTGAAGGCAGATGCCTAAACGACAGAGCCATGCAGGTGATGCTAGGATTTTCTTTTTGGATGATAAAAATGATACAGAATTAAATAGTAGTGATGTTGCATTTCTCTGTGAATATTCTAAACACGTGATTTGTATACTTTAAAAGGGTGAATTTCATAGTATATGATTTATATCTCAATATAGTTGTTATGAAAAATTATTTAAGGGCTCCATATATCAGCATGATATAATTTTAGAATGAGTCTCAAATAAATTTAATCTAGTGATTTTCAAATATTTTACTAACGGTCGCCTTTGAAAATAATAAAATCTTACTTCAAGTTCAACCATGAAACAGATAGGTGTAGTGTTATATTGAATGCACTTATCAAGTTCTAACTTATAACAGGCCATTTGGTTAAAAACAGAGCTTGATAGTAAGGTTGTGGGCAACAGTGCAGCTATGGATTAGGTTGGCATCTAGTGTTTGCTGTTTTATTTTATGTACAATATTAATAAAGTCCTGATAAATTGTGAATTACCATGCCTTGCAATGTCAAAATATTAATCTGTTTAACTGATGGATAAAACTATGGAAAATTAAAGAAACTTTTCAAGTTTAGTCTCTAATGGTATCTAGCAATTACGCACACCTTAAAGAATGTATTACCCTGAGTTCACACAACTCATTAAAACAATCTATTACTAGGTCACAGCAAAAGCACTCACTAGTATTGATTGTAATGCATCAACTTAGGAAAATTGTTATGGGCAGACATGGATTGGACCAAATTAACCAGTACATCAATACCAAGCTATAATACTCCTAAGCAAGGACATAATTACAAGAATTTCAAATATAGAGAGATAATGGCAGCTTGATTAATAAATCTACAGGGAAGAAAAAGTACATAGTGTGGGTTAACATGTTAATAGCTTCCACTGAATTAAAACTGAGTAGATAGCATATATTTGTACTGATTTTTACAATCTTAAATTATACTCTCATTTTAAAAGAAATTTGTTTTTAAAAGATTTATTTGATAGAGAGTGAGTGTGCACACACACACACACGTGAGCAGGGGGAGAGGGAGAGAATCTCAAGTAAACACCCCACTGAGCCCGACATGGGGCTCCATCTCAGGACCCTGAGCTCATGAGCTGAGTCAAAACCAAAAGCTGGATGCTCAACTGACTGAGGCCACCCAGGCAGCCCCACTTTCAAAAAGGAAGTTATAGGAAACTTCTAGAATCCAAAAAGTATTTCTGTAGAACATGGCTCAAATCCACCTATTTTACCTAACTATGCTTATCTTAGAGATGAAGTAAGTCAGGCTAAATATTTAAATTCTCAAAGTTTTATATCCAGTTATCCTACAGAAAATGAACTGAGGTTCAGGATTCTGAATTCAGGATTCTTAGTATCATAGTCCTTCTCACGACCAAGTTTATATTCCCCAGTCTGGTTTGCAAGGATCTCTATAATCTGGCTTCATTCTAATAGTTTTTCCCTCCACAACTGGTAAGAGCCATGAGGTCTCAACAATTCCACTAGAGAAGATGGGCAGCAACTGTTGGACAAGCACTGGTGAGATGGGGATGGAGACGTTGGCAGGGGCAGTACCAACAGCTCATCAAGAAAGCAACACACAGTGGCTGGAGGTTGTGGCCTGAGGATTTCCCTCTCAATCGTGAGGTCCACAGCCTATTCCTCCTGAGAATTCCTGTTATTATTTGAGATGGCTTTCAGTGGGGGCTGGTAAAAATTATGCAACAGGATAAAGTCCCCTCAAGTCTGCCCATAACACACAAATTTCATTTATTTATTTGGATTTATTTATTTATTTATTTGAGAGAGAGAGAAAGAACGGGCAAGCATGCACAAGCTCAGGAAGGGCAGAGGGAGAGAGAGAGAATCCCAAGCAGACTCCCCACTGAGCATTGAGCCTGATGTGGGGCTTGATCCCAGGACCCTGAGATCACCACCTGAGCCAAAACCAAGAGCTGGATGCTCAACCAACTGAGCCATCCAGGTGTCTTGACACAAATTTATTTTCATAAATTGTTAAGTTGTTCCAGGATCCGTGAATCACTCACGTACAACAGGTTTCAATCTGAAGCTCCTGCCATCTGACGGCGCCATCCTTTCCCCTTAGGCGGTGTCTTCAACTAGCAATTGTCTCGTGAGGCCTGCTCAGTTACTGAGGATTTTCACCTGGCTCACAGACTGCCCCTTTACCCCACCTCTCTCGGACTTCAAGTGCATTACATTTCTACATGAATCCTGGGCACTAAGTTATTTGATTTTTTCATTTTTAATGATTTCTAGTGTCATTATTTCTTGGATCTCAGGATCATCGGAGGCTGTGGCTAGGTCTTCACCAAAATTACTAAGTAAAAATCCCAGGTGCTAATGAAGCACAAGTTCTTATCCATGTGGTCTTATCACTCAACTCCTCTCGCAACATGACTATGACTGGACCTCTAGTCTCCTGCCACCATAGTTTCTGTTCATCAGCCCCTTTCTGCCCTTACTTCCTCCCCCATCAATTTTCTAGTCCAAGATTCATCATTTCAATCATTCTCTTGCCTTAAACATCCTTGCTCTCTAATTAGTCAACACACTTGCCTGGCTAGCAAAATGCTAACCTTGGATGAATTTGACAATTCCTTCACTGTACTGGGGGGATGATCACACAATGGAGTGGACTGTCACCTTGTCTGGGCCATCATCTGGTTATATTTATAATATTATTATGCTTCTCTAGTAAATTTATTTTTCCATTTTCTCAATGATTCTAAATCTCCTATTTTCCTAAAATCACCTGACCCCATTTCTTTTCTCCTTCCTCATTTTTACCTCCTTCTACACATGCAGATGGACACAGACACACACACTTGCTGTGTAATCTTTCTCAATTTTCTGTCAAACTATCTATAAACTTTGTTACATCTAGATCCTCTTCTTCTTTCTTACCATTGTTGTAAGAGAAAGTATCCCTATTTCAGACCAATTTCTCCACAAAGTCATCAAACTTTGCTAAGAATACTGCATATCACTATTTCTCTTATATCCTAAATATCTCTCTTCACTGGATTCTTCCCATCCATATTTAAACATGCTTAAGTCTCACTCATATTTTTAAAAAACTTTTTTTAGATCCCAAACCTTCTTCCAGATAACTCTATTCTCTTTCCCCCTTTCTCTTCTATCTTTTCCCCATTCAGTGCCAGCCCTCATTAAAGAGTTCGACTGCCTTAGCATCATATACTCAGCTCCCACTCATTCCTGAGCTCATCGTGCTCCCACTGCTCCACCGATACTACTCTCATTATGATCATCTAATGAGACCATGTTAAATCCAATTGGTGTTAGAGTCAGCTTAGTTAACCATGTAGTAATTAATATTCAATATAGTCAATTACTTTCTGTTTGAAACCCAATCCTTGGTTTCTGTGATACTACCCTCTCATTTTGTTTGTTTTCTAAGATTTTTATTTTTATTTGAGAGAGACAGCACAAGCAGGGGTAGAGGCAGAGGGAGAAGGAGAAGAAGACTCTTCTCTGAGCAGGGACCCGATATAGGGCTTGATCCTAGGACTCTGGGATCATGACCTGAGCCAAAGGCCGATGCTTAACTGATTGAGCCACGTGCACACCTTTTTCTTTTTTCTTTTCCTTCCTTCCTTCCCTTTCTTTTTTCTTTCTTCCTTCCCTTTCTTCTTTCTTTCTTTCTTTCTTTCTTTCTTTCTTTCTTTCTTTCTTCTTCTTCTTTCTTTTTCCTTCTATTCCTCTTTCTAGTAGTGACAAGGACTGCTAATTCTGAACAAAAATCTATCTTCCACTTCCTTCTGGGCACATGGCTTCCACGTTTTCCAGTTTCTTTTGGAGTCAGGTATGGACATGTGACTGAAAATGAAATGTAAACAGAAAAGACATAGGCCTGAACCTCAAGACACTGGGCAAGCCTCCCGCCTATTTTCTTTTCCTTTCTCCCATCACTTGGAACCCGGGTGCAATGGAGATCAAGCTTTGAACAATCACATAATGACAATGTCCTACAATAAGAGTTGGTAAAGTACAGTTTGTGGGCCAAATCTGGTCTGCGGCCTGTTTTCTATGGCCTGGAAGCTAAGGATAGACTACATTTTTTGAAGATTGTTTAAAAAAAAAGGATGAAGAATATGTCAGAGACCATATGTCACTGGCTAAGCCTAAAGTATT